CGAGAGGAGGGGAATGAAAGCTTCGCGCGGGGGGGGGGGGGGGGGGGGGGCGGCGGCTGTGGGAAGCGCCGCGGCGGCTGTGGGAAGCGCCGCGGCGGCTGTCCAGCAGTTCTCCAAAGCGGTTAAATGTAGCCCCATCAATTCCACTTCTGGGTAATGCAAAGGATACAACAACATCTACACAAACATCTGCACAATGGCAGTGGCGGTGGCGGCAGCATAATGCTGTTTCTTTCCCCAAATGGAAACAACCCAAAAGTCCATTAGCTAATGACCAAATAAGCAAAACTCAGTGCATCAGCGCCAGGGAGAATCCTTCAGGCATGCAGGCAATAAAGCTCTGACGCCTGCCACGAGAGACCCCAAGGTCACTGCAAAGACTGTCCAGAGCAGCTGTGGGTGGAGAGGAAGCGGAGCATGGACCCCGGTCCGGCTGTGGAGAGGCCCTGGCTCTGCGTGTGCCCCTGGGGTTTTGCGCTGTTTTACACTTGGAGTGCAGCCTTGCTTCCACAGTGGCAGGTCAGCCGGGCCGATCCTCAGTCCTGTCATGACAGGAGGCCAGGCTCAGTCCACCCCCTGACCAGGACACCCTCAGAGCTTCTAGGGGACAGGGCAGGATGGGAACCAAAGCTGTGGGCTCTTTTGCTCAGTGTCCCATCACCACTAAGGTACTGGGGGTGGGTGGTGGGGGTTGGAGGTGGCATGTGCCTTGACAATGCTGGGGGTTCGCTGATGGGTGCAGGTCGAACTCGCGGGCTGAGCTGTGTCTCCAGCCCCTGGCCCCCGACCTGTGGGGGCAGACAGCTACCACCCTGGAGGGAGCCCAATGACCTTGAAAACCACTGTGCTGTCATGTCTAGGGAAGGGCAGAGCACGGCTTTGAGGTTTGGGACCAGGACAGACCTGGAACCTGAGAGCTCATTTCCCTGCAGGGGGAGCGGTCGGTTCTTCTTGAGGAGCCCCTCACCCACTTTCCCCATCACGGCTTTCCCCAGGCCTTGTTGGGGTGCCTACTCTCTCCTTTGATTTACCAATACACCTTTGTGCTCTCTGCCACCCGTGTCCTGGGATTCTTTTTCATTCTCTGCGGGCCCAAGCGGCCTCCTCTGCTCTGGAGGCCTCCCTGGAGCCTTGCTGGTTCTGGGGCCCTGTGCTCAGCCTCCTTCTGCACCCCACCCCCACCCCCATTGCCTGGACAGAGCACCTTCGCTTTCCACGCTCGGCTGCAGGGTACCCGCCTCTCCACAGATGACGATGAATAAGGCTGCTGTAAATACCCGTGTGCCAGTTTTCTGTGTGCATTCACGGGTTCGGCTCCTTCGGGCTGGTGGCTTTTGAAGTGCAAGGTGCACATCTGTGATTCTAGTCCTCGGGGGGCTGAGGCAGGAGGATCCCAAATTTGAGGCCAGCCTGGGCTACGTTATAGTGAGACCCTGGCACACGCACATGAATAAAAAGGAAAATAATAAACAACTCAAGCTGTTGGAAATCTACTAATGTGGCTGAGCTTGGTGGAGTCCAAGACGTGTCCTGTGCAGCCCAGTCCCCACAGCAGCTTAGATGACCCCGCCAGCTGCTGTCTGGCTTGCCCTCGTGACTGTGGCCTGGCCTGGCCAGGGAAGCCCAAAGCTAAGCCCTATGACTCTATGACTCCACTCCCCAAGCTGAGGATCCACCAAGGCTGTGCTTGCCCCTGCTCTTCCGCCTTTCCATCTCCTCTCGTTACTGAGAATTCACTTGCCAGAGAAGTCAGCCTTTAAAAGGTGCACACTGCAGTCTTTGCGGTGCATTCGCAGAGTTGCACCATCATCATTGGTATCGAATTCTACATTTGTGTCACCCCCAAAGGAACCCGGTGCTCATTAGCAGCCTCTTCCCTCCCACCCCTCAACAGCCACTCGGCTACGTTCTCCCATGGATTTGCTGATTCTGGGCATGCCACATAAATGTAGTTGTATGGGCTGGGAAAGTGGCTCAGTGGTAGAGCGCTTGCCTTCCATGCATGAGGCCCTGGGTTTGATTCCTCAACACCACATAAGCAAAAAGAAAAAAGCCGGAAGTGGTGCTGTGGCTCAAGTGGTAGAGCGCTAGCCTTGAGCTGAAGAGCTGAGGGACAGCGCCCAAGCCCAGAGTTCAAGCCCCATGACCGGACCCCTCCCCCCCAGAAAAAAGAAACAGAGATATGGAGTCTAGGAGAATTACAGAGACAGACAGAGAGACAGAGACAGACAGAGCGACAGAGAGACAGAGACAGAGAGAGACTACCTATCCTTGGTCCCACTTGACCTCTTGCTGGGAGGCGTCCTGCCTCTTGCTAAATCCCCAAAGTCAACCCAGCAGCCTCCTGGCTGGACGTGCTGGACACGCCAGACGAGCCACAACACGCTTCTTAGTATGTTTAATGGTTTTCTCGGGGCACGCAGTGGGCTCTGAAAGCTCAGCCAGGCAGGAGCAGGGGACCCAGAGCCGCTCGAGGGCTCCGGTCTTCATCCGCTCACCCACACTCAGCGGAGCTCCGAGGCGGTGGGAGGGGGGATTTGAGCTCGGGGTGGCTTTGTTCTTCCGCAAAGGTGAGTTATGAAAGTCCCCGTGCTGCGTGCGTGTCCACGAGGCCCCTGGGAGCCGCTGCTGCCAGCAGGCCGGACTCCTTTTGTCTTACTTTTAATGAGACGATGCCCCTGAGCTGCCCGGTGGATGGATGCCAAATGCTGGCTAGAGGCTGGCACTGGGCAGAGGACAGGAAGGTCAGAGCTGGGGGTCCAGGGCTGGGGCTGCATCCCTGCTTTGCTGTCCCTGGCTGTGTCCCCGGCTTTGCTGTCCCTGGCTGCATCCCTGCTTTGCTGTCCCTGGCTGTATCCCCGGCTAAATCACACCCTGTCCGGCGCCTTCTCCTTCACACAGGGAAAATGGGCAGGTGGGACCCATGACCTTTGAGTCCTTGTAGCTGTAAGAATGAGTGAAGCCTGCCGGCACTGGGAAAGGGCAAAGGAAGGTCCCTTCCAGGCACATGTGGAGAGAGGGACATGCCGAGGGGCAGACCTGCAGGGGAGACCCGCGCCCCTGCACACACAGGTGGTCTGGGTTGGCCAGCACACGTCCTGCACCTGGGCACATTCTACAGCCTCGCTTTGGTGGCCCCAGAGGGAATAACTGTGGGAACCACAAGGCTCCTATCAGCCAATGGGGATGAAGAAACTACCACTCCATCCAATCACGGGCAAGATGCTGCCCGGCAATGCTAGACCAAGACAGTTTAGACCCGCCTCCTGGGATATTCACAGGAAGGGGGGCGGAAATAGAGCATTTAATGAGGCCCCATATGTAAGCAATCAATCTCAATTTCCACCTCTCATTTAGTAGAGAACTTCCACAGGTGTGTGTGGAGAGTCGGTGGAACCGTGTAATGCCGCCGAGTTCATCCAATATTGATGTTGAGCGTTCCTTTGGGTCTTGGTGCACTCAGAGCGGTGGAATGGCGGGGTGGGAGGCGGTCACAGCACGGCATGGCTGCGGCGGAGAGTGACAGGACCGCCAGGGACTCCCGCAGCGCAAGCAAGGCTTCGCTCAGAAGAGAGGGCAGATGTGAGAGAGGCTCCCGCGGGCCCTAGGCCTGCCACGGCTTCTCCTCTGATGACTCCCCCGGGCCCGGCCCGCTGCGGCCAGGCACTGAGCAGGAGGGGAGAGGTCTACCAATTGTACATTCTTCTAGCCATCCTCATTGACCAGTGAGCGGGACGCAGAGCTCCGCCTGCTTGGCTGGTCTTCACCCCCAGCAGCCCACCAAAGGGGTCTCTGGGACACCAGACAGAGAATCACAGATCCAGCCCGAGTCTGCAGCAGTGAGAGTTCAGGAATGAGAAGCCCGGGTCCCACCCACAGGGCCCAGCACCCAGCAGACAGGAAGTGGGAGGCTTTGGCTTTCAATATTTTGCCTAAGAGAAAAAAAAAATCAGAAGATTTGTGGCTGCTGCAATGCCCCATTACGCAGCCAAATGTCCACGGGACTCGGCCAGGCCCTTCCTGCAGCAGACCCACGTGGTGGGCCTCACAGGGCTTAGAGAAAGGCTAGGGGCATCCCCACCGACTCCTGGGGATGGTTGACTGGAGGAGGGGGAGGACGAGGGCCACCCCCCACCCCAGGCCCTTGGGCCCTGACGGTTCAGAGTCCATTGCTCGTTCTCGCTAGTCTGGGCGTGGGCTGTCTCGTCCCGGCAGTCAGGCCCTGTACACCCACATGCAAGGTTGGGGTGCTCTGAAGCAGGGCTCTGGCCTGGGCAGCCGGTAAGGAGCAGACAGAAGGCTGCTCTGTTGCTGCCCGGAGGGTGTGCTGGGTCCGAGGCGGCCTCGCTGAGTTGGCTGGCTGAGCTCCCCGAATTGGTGGCCCAGGGCAGGAGTCCCCCAAACACCTGGGACAAGGTGGCACCTCCAGCCAGCCAGGGCTGGCTAGGTGGAGTTCAGCCACCAAGGGCACCCACTACCCTGTCAGTGTCTCCTGTCCAGGCCCAGGCTCGAGACCCCGCCCCCCCAGCCCCCAGCCTGGGATTTGCTGCAGAGATCAGCTCTGCCCTCCTTGCCAAGAGCTTGCTCCAGATCTGGGGGGGGGGGGAAGCAGCGGTAATGGGCAACGCCAAGGATGGTGGTGAGCTCCTCGTGGACTCCTGAGGGGAGGGTGGCATCCCCAGTTCCCAGTGGTGAGGTGGCCCAGGACACAGGCTCTGAGGGTGAGGGGTGGCACTCCACGGGCTGTGTGGAGGGGAGCCGGAGCAAAGCGTGGCAGGGAGACTGAGCCCTCTGGGGGAGCTGCGTGTGTTGGGGGGCCAGCAGGGAGCGGAGGGAGTGGATGGGGCGGGCCTCGTGCTAAAGGCCGTGAGGGCCAAGGATTCCAAGGATTCCACAGATGGAGGACCTCTTTGGCTCTGTCCCCTTCTTCCTTTGGGAGATGCTCCCTGGCGTGCAGGCCCAGGGCTGGGGCGCGGCTAGGCGGCGGGCTGGCGGTGGAGTTACACATAGGTGGCGGGGGAGGCGGCGTCCTGGAGGACAGGGTTGTCCCCATCGGCGAGGAGCTTGTGCTCGCTGCCCGAGCTGGCCGTGTTCTGGAAGCGGCGGAGACGAGCCTGGAGCCGCTCCTGCTCCTTTTTGAGCTCCAGGTAGGAGTGGGAGAAGGTGTGGAAGATGGACGTGGCCGGGAAGGCCATGATGAGAATTCCGCTCAGGATGCTGCTGAGGGCCACCATCTGGCCCGGCACACTGCGGGGGACCATGTCCCCGTAGCCCACCGTGGTCATGGAGATGATGGCCCACCAATAGGAGGCGGGGATGCTGGTGAACTCCAGGACCCGTCCGGATTCGTTCTCGGCCACGTAGACCAGGGGTGAGAAGAGGGTGACGGCCACGCCGAGGAAGAGCAGCAGCAGGCCGAGCTCGCGCGCGCAGCGGCGCACGGTGAGGCCCAGCGTCTGCAGCCCCAGCGAGTGGCGCGCCAGGCGCATGACGTAGAGGATGCGCAGGGCCCGCAGCACGCGCAGCACCAGCCCCACCTTCTCCAGGTAGGAGCCGGCGGCGCTCGGCCTCTCCCGGGCCTCTTCCCCGGTCTCCTCGGACACCGCCAGCGACACGTAGTATGGCGAGATGGCCAGGATGTCGATGATGTTCAGCGGCCCGCGGAAGAACTGGCACTTGTCCGGGGCCTGGACGAATCTCAGGCAGAACTCCAGGGAGAACCAGGCCACGCACACGGTCTCCACCACGAAGATGTAGTAGCACTTGCGAGAACATTCGCCCTGGGGACAGAGAGCAGGAAGAGGCAGGTGCAGGGAACTGGGAGGGAAACAGAGCCTGTGTGCGTGGGCCTGTGTTGTGGGCAGAGCTGCCCACGGCCCTCCTTCAAAACGGCAGCCCCCTGGGTGTGGTGGTGGGATGGGTGCGAAAGAGCCCTAAGGGTCATTCAGGAGGGAATGTTCTAGATCACCGGGGGGCGGGTTAGCACGAGTGGGTCCACTTGCTCCAAGGCGCAGAGCTCACAGGACTGCCGGGAGCCACAGTGCCTGGTCAGGACCCCTGAGGCCCAGCCCGAGTGGAAGGACAGGTTGGGGACAGCAGCTGTGTCTGGGGCACGGGGGCCTTGTTCCCGGCAAGCGTGTCCAGGATCCTTCCTGGTCCTCAGCCCAGCCTCACAAGACAGCCCAGGTGCCCCCCAGGGGAAATCGAGACCACCCCCCCACAGCCTCTCAGCGTCCAGGAGGTGACTCTGTGCCCCCGGGGGGCCGAGGAGACTCAGAACATGGCAGTTTCCTGGCTTGGCTGCCCGTTCACCTTAATTTACAATCCGGGGTGCCAGCCCATGAAGGGGGAACCTGGGGGCCTGCCGGTCCTCAGGGAGTCTCGGCCTCCACGGGTCTGTGGTCTCTGTGCTGGGAATGCCCGTGACCTTCACATGTCATCCAGGCCCCTGCCTGACCCAGCCCACAGCTGTCCCCACAGCAGCTGGCCAGCTTGGCGGCTGCTGACCATCCCCTGGGGGCAGACGTGAAGCAAAGCCGGCATGTGCTGCGTGTGCTGCACTGCAGGACAGAGCAGCTTTTTTATGCAAATGGCAGGACACAGTCCTGAAAGAACCACCCCCCCCTCGTGCCTCGCTGTCTGGGTTACTGCCTCACAGGGGAGCAGGCCCTCTCCACCCCCGATTCTAGGGGTGTCTCTGGGCTGATGTGGCTGCACAGACAGACGTCCCCACTAGCCCCAGAGCTGTGGCCACCCCCCCTCCTTTGCCCCAGCAGGGTTCGGCTGCCCTCGGCTGCCAGCCCCGCCTCCCCTCTGATTCGAGTCCCATGAAGTGAGGCCCAGGCCCCTGCCTTTGTCATTTTCAAAAGTCCTTGGTCCTCTGTGCACTCCAGATCGTGGTGTCCTTACAAATGTCCCACGCCTCAGTTTCTCCATCTGAAAACGGAGCTGGGAAGAGGGGTGCTGGTTGGGATGTGAGCTCAGTAGCTGCTCGGGCCTGCAGGTCAATGTCACAGCTTTTCAAAACAGCGTCACCCATTCTAGCAAGGAGGAAGCTAGGCTCAGAGAGGTAACGTGACGCCCTGTGGTCACAGAGACCCTCCCAGCCCGCCGAGGCCAGCTGTGGGCGGATCCTTTCTCCCTATCGATGGATTCTGTTTTAGCGAGGGGCACAAACGGCTTTCAACGGCCGGTCACTTTGCCCTTATGGGCTCCTTTGTCAAAAAACAGCAAACACACACACACACACACACACACACACACACACATTAGGCTCACACCCATAATCCTAACTACTCAGGAGGCTGAGATCTGAGGACCCCAGTCTGAAGGCCAGCCTGGTCAGAAAATTCTGTAACACTCTTATCTCCAATCAACTAGCAAAAAGCCAGAAATGGAGCTGTGGCTCAAGTGGTTGAGTGTCAGCCTTGAGCAAACAGCTAAAGGACAGTACCTAGGCTGTGAGTTCAAGCCTTGGTACCTGCACACATGCATGTACGTGTGCCCACACACACAGTGATCGTTTATGAATGGGCTGGTCTAGAACTGCAGGCAGTTCACATGGGATAGCATTTGTATTTTAGTACTTTGAGAAGCGCCATTTCCGGCTTGTGCATCTCTGGGGTCTCAGCTGCACAGGAGGCATCATTAGGGGATCGCAATCCAAGGCTAGCCTAGATAAAAGCCAACCCCACTTCAAGGCACACAAAGTAAACTCGCTGGCCGGGATCTTGGCTTGAGAGGTGGAGCGCGTGTCTCGGGAGCGTGAGGCTCTGCCTTTGGCCTGCGGCTCGCCCACTCTCTCGAGGTCCCCGCCTGGAGGCCACTCACCTTGTCCTCCTCAGCTCTGAGGTC